CCTGTATACCGTACCCATATCACGGAAAACTTGAATCTGACTAGCAAGAAGATCGGAATCCTTCGCGAAAGTAACATGTTCCACTCGTATTGTTAGAGCTTCAGAAAAATTTTGATGAAAATATATTATACCATGAAGTTCTCCTCTTTGAATATCATATTTCGCCTCTGAAATATTGTTATAGTACTTCTGAAAACACAATATAATTAATGAGAACCATCAATAAACGTGTTAATGATTATTAATCTGTTTCTATTAATTTATATTGAATAAAATTTTTCCAATGTGTATCGGAATAAATAGGTGACAGAGAAATGGATACCGAGAATACAGAAAGTGCCATTTTAATCTGTACATTAAAGACATCCGTTCATGCTACATTATATTTATGTGTCGTGTCTTTCGTATATTGATATTTCTAGTCCTAGGACTTTCGAGTGTGCTTTGTTCTGTATTTACTCTCGGCAACAGTGCGTTAGCCGAGTGGAGTCGTTGGTGAAAAGCCTACCCGTGCAAAACGTTACAGTGAGCTCTTGTGATTGAAACATAAATTTGTTCGTCTTGCATGTGTGGTAAGGGCAATAAAGAGCGTCCACATACGCACTGAGTAGGCATTTTGCAAGCTTATTTGATCCTACTTTAATATATTGTATGTACAACATCATTAAATAACTACGTTACATGATTAATTTTTAAATTGTTACACCTGTGTCGCAATGGAGTCGTCAAAATTGTTCAGGAATCTACAACTGAGGTTGCTGAAGTGGCAGCTGATTTCATCATTCCAAATATTGCCAAAGTTGCTGCCGTCGCAATTGCCAGCTTCATCGTTAACAATCCCGATCTTCAAGTTCTTTGGATCATTACCAACTGCCAAAAGTGCTCCAGCCCATATTAATATCGGTATTGATATCGCAAGAATTAGCGTTCTGAAAGAATTTTTATTAGTGTTATGAAATTTGCAATTGATAAAAACTAAAAATATTAAAATATAACCTCTAGCTCGTTATACAATGACAATTTAGTACTACACAAGTATATTGAAGGAAACATTCGAAAAGACAACATTCGAAATTGAAACAATTGCAATTTTATTTTGTTGACAAAACCATCCCTTCTGCATTATTGATAAGTTATGATAAATACTTACGTGTAATCACGGGTCACTTGGATGCTATCCTTCACAAGTAGAGCTTGGAATCTTCTTAATCGTGAAACTTGTCTTTTCGAAACCGTTTTGTTTCCCTTAATAATTTGACTTATTAATATCTTAAAATGATATATATTTGCAAAGCTTTTTATAACAATAAAAATCGTACATACATTTAGTTGTTCATATTTGTTTTGATCGTGATTGAAGGCATCGCTACCAGTGTCTTCCATATTGGATCCCTGAGCTTCATTTAAAGTGACTGCATTATTCTGTGCCTCGCACAATTTCAGGAAAATTTCATCCAACGACGAGGATTGAAATTTCTCCAGTAATTTTTGCGGCGCCGATTCAGCTAACAATTTACCATGTCTCATTAAACTGACCTGCGTATCCACAATATATGATATTATGCACGATAAAATTTGTAACATTTACAATTAGGAAGAACACAGCGTTCTCGAAAAGAAGGAATAGTTCGTGCTTCAGAAGCAAAACCTAGCTTATACAGGGTGTCGGATTCGATTTGGATCACTCCAAAGATTATAGTAGATTGGGTCAAACTGAGAAGAAAAGTTATATACCATTTTACAAAATCCGTAATTATTATCGCGTAATTAAGAAAAACGTCTGAGCCAATAAGTGCACGGAGGAGCTGAAGGCCGGACTCGGCAGACATGCAAAATGGTGTATTATTCTCCTACCACCAGAAAAACTTTTTCGGCGCGATGTCATACGAGGTCTGTTCAAAAAGTATCGCGAATTTTGAATTTCCGCGAGCTACGTATATTCGATTTTCGATTTTTTTTGTGGCGTTATGTTGGTACTCATGTCCCTCACTTATGCTGACAAGTTCGGCCATTTTGAATGTTCAGTTAATTTTTCGACAGCTATTTTGCTTGGACGTGTTTTGGCTCGTCTTCGATTTTTGCCTATTCCAAGAAATGGATCAAAGAATATGTATCAAATTTTGTGTGAAAAACAAAATTAAGTGCGCGGACGCATTCCGAATGTTGACTGTGGCATATGGTGAAGCTACCTTGAACCAAAGCAACGTTTATCGGTAGTACAAAATGTTCTCAGAGGGCCGAGAAGATGTGAACGACGAAGAGCGTGCCGGACGCCCGAGCACGTCAATAACAGACGAAAACATTGATGAAGTGAAGAAAATAGTATTGGCCAATCGTCGAATCACCGTTAGAGAAGTTGCTGAGGACGAAAAAAAAGAAACGCCCGGATTTGTGGAAGAACAAAAATTGGCTTTTGCACCATGATAACGCCCCTGCTCACACATCGTTGCTTGTGCGCGAATTTTTGGCCAAAAACAACACACTAATGATGCCGCAGCCACCGTATTCTCCAGACCTGGCCCCCTGTGACTTTTTCTTGTTCCTGAAACTGAAGAGGCCCATGAAAGGACGACGCTACGCCACGATTGAGGAGATAAAGACGGCATCGAAGGAGGAGCTGAACAAGATCACAAAAAGGATTTTTTGAAGTGCTTCGAAGATTGGAAAAAACGTTGGCACAAGTGTATAATATCTGATGGGGATTACTTTGAAGGGGACAACATAGATATTCATGAATAAATAAATAATTTTTGAAAAAACACAAAATTCGCGATACTTTTTGAACAGACCTCGTATGTCGCGCGTTCGCTCGCTGCGCGCTGTTCGCCCGCTCACCGCTCCCCGCTCGCCGACGTCTCTCATCGATCGATGCGTGACTCCACCTCTCGCTATCGGATCTTGAGAGATGTCAACAGATACACCATTTTGCATGTCTGCCGAGTCCGGCCTTCCGCTCCTCCGTGCACTTATTGGCTCAGACGTTTTTCTTAATTACGCGATAATAATTACGGATTTTGTAAAATGTTATATAACTTTTCTTCTCAGTTTGACCCAATCTACTATAATTTTGGAGTGGTCCAAATCGAATCCGACACCCTGTATAGGAATTTTAGCGACTTCTTTATACATATAAACAACTAATTTTTAACTCGGTCTTTTAAGATATAAATCAATTTTAAACATAATCGCCATTTAGGACCTGGCATAGGTGGTGGCCAATTAAATTACTAATTGTAAGTGAATTCATATACCGTCTTTTTCTACCCTGTCCTGCGTGCCGGATTGTGAGGGAGGTCCCAGGTTCGAATCCTGGCTGAGGTAATATGTTTCGCAATAAGAATTTTAATTCACTACAGGGAAGAGTTAACGTAATAATGCTATAGCATTAAAATTAAATTAAAATAATTTACAAAAATCGTTCTACGATTTTTATAACACGTGAATTCACGGACGATAATGATCCCACCTATACTGCGTTCACGGAGAGAACGACCACGCATTTCGTCCGGTTCGGTCAGACCACGCCTCCATTTTGCCCCCTCCACACCGAACAGGCCCTGAGTAGCGCGCTCGATTTCCCCTACCTCATCCCCACTCTGTCCAAAGCTGCGCGGAGCGTGGTCGTTCTCTCTGTGAACGCAGTATAGGGAAAATCTGTATTCTATGTCCGGTAGGTAACGGCGCGTAGGACAGGGTGGAAAAAGGCGGTATATGGATTCACTTACAATTAGTAATTTAATCAAAGGGTTTTTCGGGTCACTGATTACGATTTTAAAGTCAGAATTTGTATTTTCAACATGGCTAATCAAATATGGCGGCCCAAAAATTAAAAAATCGTTATAATTCTTTTAAGAATTACCATTAGGGTTTTTTGGGTCACTAATTACGACTTTGAAGTCAAAATTCGAAAATTCAAAATGGCGGAAAACCCTTTGATACAAAGTACTGAAGAAATCGGTCTGAGAAACGTTCGGTGCTTAGGTACCAAAGAAAATGGAATTTGTTAATATTAAGTGTCCTACAGTTGTAAATATTAAACCGTTTCGGAAATCGCGTGTATGCGTTTCCATAGATTTTGTCATGAGAAATCCGAATCTGTTGACTAAATTAACGAGTATCAACGCGTTTCAAACTTATTTTCATCTGAAAATGTCAAAAAAACGGCCTTTTTGCACTTTTAAGATAGAATATCTCAAAATTCTGACGCGCTAGACAAATTCTGCGGTCAGATTCGGATACAGTGCAAAAAATTACATGGAAAAACACCTTAGATCTCAATGGGATTTCAAAAGGGTCATTTTTGTATGCCTGTGTAATTATAGATAAACGGTAAATATATCGATGAGGGGAGCCCGCCCCGATGACCTTGACCTTGACATATGTTGTCAAGGTCGCCCTCCTGAGTGAACTTGAAGAGGTTTTAGCCGTCGCTCGTAGTTCGTTAAAAAGATATTTAAAAAACAATGTCGACCAATTCTATGTAATTTTCAGACACAAATATTAAAAATTTTGAAAAATGTTTTAAACAAAAGTTGTTGATCACTTTAAAATATACATTTTATGTTCTATTAATTTTTACTGTACAAATGATAGTTTTCGAGAAAAATGATGGACTCTAAATTTTATATCTTTCCTCCTATCTAAGCATGTACCTTACAGTACATATGTATACGATTTCATATGGGTTTGCAACTTTCCACGTGAAGTTGCTCGTGTCTTTAGCACGGCGCGCTGCGCGCGCCCCA